CTTCATGGGTGTCAACAATTCTGAGAAGCTTCTTTTATAACTTCCGTCAAAACCAGTGTATAAACCATACCAGAAAAATAGGCTTATTGCTATATAGAACATATTTCATAAATCCCCAAAGCTAAGGAAACAAATATGTGTGTAATGTTCTTAAGTTGATGCAGGGTTTATAAAAACTTCCTTTTCTGAGTTTGACCTCCCAACATAAATGGTGACATCACTTCTTTAAGAAAATAAGCACACATGTAGGGGAAAAGCCATGTTATCTGAGTCTTCATCCAAGAATGAGGATATGTTCTTATAACCAAGAGCTAGCTCACTGGGGAAGCCCATAGGCAGAAGAAAATCTTAGACAGTCAGGAGGGTTTAATTTTTATTTTTAGGGAGCAGATAAACAGATCTTAGATGACTGACAACAAATTTTCCAAAGAAAAGAAGAATGAAGTCATAGCCAAAATTTTTTAGTAGTGCATGATGGGAAGAGTTTAGAACCAAGACTAGGAGTCAAATTCCAGTAGTGTAACTAGCTCTGCAGTCTTAAGACAAATTCTCTTCCCCAGTCATACTTCCCTTATCTGTAAATGGGGACACATATTCCAGGAGTTTTGTGACGATTTACTGATGGAGCTCTGATAGTTTGGCTGTGTCCCCATCCAAATCTCATCTTGAATTATATGTCCCATAATTCTCATTGTTGTGGGAGGGACCTGGTGGGAGATTACTGAATTATGGCAGCAGTTTCCCCCACACTTTTCTCATGGTAGTGAAAAAATCTCAAGAGATCTGATGGTTTTATAAGGAGAAATCCCTTTTGCTTGGTTCTCATTTTCTTTGCCTGCCGCCATCCATGTAAAATGTGACTTGCTCTTCCTTGCCTTCCACCATGATTGTGAGGCTTCCCCAGTCACTTGGAACTGTAAGTCCAATTAAACCTCTTTCCTTTGTAAACTGTCCAGTCTTGGGTATATCTTTACCAACTGCATGAAAATGGACTAATGTACACTCTGATTTCCAGCCACCATCCCCCCTCCATCCCACCTCCCCATCCTGGTTCCTCAGCTAAACATCTTTTCTTCAGGTTAAATAACAGAAAACCCTGTGTAGACAGAGGGTAAGAGGAAACCCTTCAGTAGGTATCAGGCTACTATATTCACCTTTCTTAGCTCTGTAGTATCAGAGCATAAAGAATTCCTGGCCACTTTATCAGTCTCCTTGAAGAAAAACTGGAGCCAGTAGGCATTGCCATTGGTACAGTAGACATTCCTGGAGCACTGCCATTTAGAGAAAGCGGCAGCCCATTTAAATCACTGAATCTTTTAAAGAATACTGAAGACTAGAGGACTGGTTGGACTGTGCAACGTACCACCAGAATGCACATTCGTGTAGTGGAATTATACACTGAAGAAAAATATTAAATGACATTGGGACATGTTCATAACAAATGAAGTAAAAAAGAGTGCCACAAAACAGTATATATACAAAGATTCCAGTTTTTTTTCAAGTACTTGATTTATGGGAAAAATAGGATATACAAAGTGTTAAAAATAAATTCTGGAGGGTAGGATTATAGGTATTTTAAGTTTTTGCTTTTCTAAACCTTATACAACATTTTAAAACATACATTTATAATTAATAAATGTAAGATTTAAAAAAACAACTCCACAGGGCAGAATTTGTGTTTACCACCATAGAAACAACAAGCATTTAAAGAAACATGGAGTTTTCCTTAGTGGAGCAGAGAGTTTGTAAAAGAGGAAAGCACCTCTCTAGATTCCTAATGTTTCCTATCTTTTTTCCCCTATCCTTGTCCCAGATCTGAAAGTAGCTGGAAAAAAAAATCAACCTGGCTCTTTTCCTATCCCAAGATGCTCACTCAATGTTGAGTCTTACTGTAGGGGAATTTCACATAGTTTAGGCTTCCCAATACCAGAGGTTCCTGGCTCTGCCACTGGGTCTGTACCCTCTTTGGCATTCACTTCCCTCCCGTTACCTCTCTGAGTAGCTGCAAGTTGGCTGGGGAAATCCCAGTCTCATGTCCTCTGCAAGAGTCCAGGTCTCCACTTCAGTGGAGAACAGGAAAAAGAGGCAAGCGCAATGCCAAGACTTTACTGAGTTCTTTAAATAAGAATACTTGTAAGTAGTTAAAATGCTTTACATTTATCATTACCATAATTGTTAAGAATAACAACTACCATTTATGAAATGATTTCCATGTGCCAGGCACACATTACATTATCCTATTTAATTTTCACATTGGCCATTTAGGTATTATCTCTATTTGACAGATAAAGACACTGAGGCTGAGGCCAAGCATTTGCCTAAGTTCCCAGTGCTGGAAAGTGGCAGATGTAAGGTGCTTCAAGGATTGCAAAGCTATTCCAAAACTGCCTTCATAATTCTTCACACTACTCTGTGAGGAAGATGAGGATTCTAAGTTTTAACTTTTGAAAGAAAGGGACAGACTAAGGTCCCTTCTGAGAAGTCTGCATGGCTGATCCATAACAGCATTTCCAGTTTTTAGTTTCAGTAAAGGGGGTCTTGTACTTACTAAGTCAATGAAGGTGGCCACACATAGGTCTATTATACTAGGTTTACAGGTGGCAAATTTTAACCTGACCCTAAAGTAAGTGGGGTACAGTTGGAGACTAAACACTGACAGCAAATAACCAACTCATGGTGTGTCCTGATACTGTGAAGAAAAGGAGACATTCCTGTACATGGGATATAGAACTAGCTAATTCCAGAGTTTGCTGGATGGAGGGAGCCAATGGTTCTGCTAGGCTAGCAAAAGGCAGAATAGCTGAGGTCTGTGGATGATGTTTACATGGACAGTGGACCAATTTAGCCAAACCTGGAAAAGGCTAGAGGCTCTGTGCACATAACTGTGAAATTATTTTGACCAGATATGTAGGCTATCAATAAAATAGTTTATTCAGGTTACAAGGAAGACAATTTTCTACTGAAACTCCAGGTATCATACGGGTTAATAATGACTTTTTGATATACACGTCTAACAGAAAGGAAGACAAATAGACAACATGGCTGTAATTTATTGCTTTTCATTTCTTGTTTGGATAAAAGTGAGACGATATCAAAAGTTGATGACGCTGAATTATTTTCATAGTGTCTATATCACCTACTATATCAGAATTGAATTCCTCATGATTGGTCCTCAATTTAAGTGAATACTAAAATTAATCTTAATTTAAAAACATACACTGCTTTTCTGGTAAGGTGGAGAAGGCAGCAGGAAGAGGAAGTATTTTCCCAGAATTATATCAATTAGCCACCTTGGGTCCTAGTCCAAGATCTGTCCCCAACCAAGTAATTCTAAGCACATCACTTCATCACTTAAGCTTCACTGTCTTTATCTGTACAAGGAGCTAGAGTTTAATTTCCAAAGCCTTGTCAAGAACTAAGTTTGGATAAGTCTAATATTCTTTGGAGTTCATCTTTGCCATAAGTGGGTTTATGATCATCTTTGTGAACCATGACGTCATTATTTAAAAATTCATGAGGGAGACAGCTCATTGAACAGACCAGGACACAGGGTTCAGGATATGATACTGTAACATAATTAAGTATGGAGAACAGTCTTGCAAAAAAGCAATGGTGACTCCTGAAATTCTGTTAGTCTCTGTGCATACATGTCTTACGAAGACCATGCTTGCTTCTGATGAAAATTTGTTTTTAATTCCTTCTTGAATCACTGATAAAACTGCTTCCATCTTATATCAAAATGACTTATTCATAAGCCAAATACTTTTGTGAATGATTCTTAAAGGCAGGTGATGTTTGATATTGTTAAGGTTTTATGTGACAAGCTAGCATTCCAGGGACATCCATAACAACAGTAAACTTAAATCCAATAAAGAGGTGCCCTTAAGTCCAGGCTAAGTATCCCTAAATGCCAAATGCCACAAGACACTGCCACTTGGGAATGACTGTCTTTAGCCTCCAGAGTATGGATGGTGACGGTGGGCACTCTGAGTAGGAGCTTTCTTACACTGCAGTAGAAAAGTTTTTTATTTACTTTGTCCTCACCTGATACTGAGAAAAGAGCAAGAGGGCAAATGTCTACGATTTGGAAGCTGCCTCCTCCAGCTGTTCTGGCCTCAACTCTAGTTAATCTTGTGTAAGTTAAATTCTAACTAGCTCTAGACGGGACCTATCATCTGCTGGGACCTGTCAAGCCTTGATTAGTGCCCGCCCAGAAGTAAAGTTTTGTTCTTTGATATCCCAGGAGGAACTATCATGCTCTAAGATGGATAATTAGAAACAGAACTGGCTACAATTGGGTCTTAATGAGTTCAATACTGAGTGTGTCACAGAGTTTCAAATGTGGAAAGATTATCTTTTCAAATGTATGTATAATTATTTTGAGGACGTGCTTGCCTGTCGCAAACCTACTGGACTTGTTATGAGGATGAAACAGGAAAAACTCACCGGAGGACACGAAACATTACGTAGGACAGTTTCTAAGTTGAGAAGGGAATCTCCCACCTCGTCCGGCAAACATACTATTCCTTATCTTTTCCGCCCACCCACAAGTTCTAACACAGATGCTTCAAAACCCTGTGTAGTAGTTCAAGCCTGCTTAGAAGCTTATAAGGCTTCGTGCCAGGTTTCGAGTGTTTTCATAGATTTCTCTTGTTCAGTCATTGTCGCCTACAAATTTGTCATTTTCTCTCATTCCACTCCAGCCTCCCTTCCTCAGTGCAATAAGCTTTTAGGGCATTCCACTCAACACTTTTCTTCCCCACCTAAAATTCCCCACTGTCAGCAAACTGCCTAAGGGGAATCCCTATAAAAGCGGTAAGAGAAAGCAAGGATGCGTTAAAGTGCCTATAAATTGGGCACTTTAAAGGCGTTTGTTTTAATCACGACTTAAGACTTTCAACCACGAGTATTTGTGCGAAGGGAGCTTCTTCTGGGAGGATAGCCCAGCTTCGTCCTCAGGTTTCAATCCCTAAATTTCCCATGAGTAAAAGAAACATCACCTCATCTCTTCCAAGAGTCCGCTGACGCCTCTCTTCACCCGCATGTGTTTGTCTTAAGACGTGAAAGCTTTTTAGAACCTCAAACAGCTAAGACGATACCCGGACCCGAGGTTTTACTCTGGTCCCAGCAACGCTCCGGGATTTGTTTTTCTACTTCCCTAGGGCCAAGCCCGCCCGTTGGCGTCAAAGCCAATTTTTTACTGGTTCAGATACGTGCTCGTGTCTGCAGCTAACCAATCAGAACTCCACTTCTTACCCCTGGAATTTGGTAAACGGAAGAGACCTCTCTGGTCCCGGGAGTAGGCGGGACTGTAGAGGAGTGACAGTTCGACATTCCAATAGGCAGAGCCCTAGGACCTGCCCCCGTCTGGCTCAGGGGCTAGAAAAGAGCGTTGATGCCGGCGGCCGCGATGAGTCCTAGGAGGCGCTGGCTCCTTGGCGGCTCGGAGGAGCGGCTGCTGCTGCTGGTGCCTCTTTGCAGGTGAGTGATTTTGTTTCAGAAAATGTTGCGAACGCTTCCGTTTTTTCGTGATGCGATGTTTTATTTTTGGGTGCAGGGAAGGTCAGTTTCTTTACTTCCCCCGGTTGAGTCGTTGGTGGGAGTCCGGTGCCCACTCCACCCCTCAAGCTGCGACCCTCACGTATCGCCCCGGTCCCCTCTCCCTTGTCCCTTTCTCAGAATGAGCCTCTCAGGCAGTCACAGTTCTGTCAGCTGAGAGGAAGAGCCCGCCTTGGTCGTGCTGTCCTTATGGCAAGAATAAATAGAAGTTGGTAGGAAGATAAACTCCTCTCTCCTGGACGTCTGAGGCACTGTGTGGCAGAGACTCTCTGATAGTAAGATCCCCTAGAAGCGATGCCGCTGTCTTTAGGGCTCTGGCAGACCTGGCCCTATCATTTTGTGTAGCAGACAGAAAAACTTGAATGGGGTGAAAAGAGAAGGAGGTGAATAAGCCTATATGCAATGCTTTCATGTACCACTATTATCCGGAGCCAAATATTAAGTTCTTAGAACCACTAGAAATAAAAACGTAGGTGTATTTTCTTCTTTTCTAAGGGACAGGGGCTGGTATTACACTAGACAAGGTTAATGAAATGCATAATTGCAGTTAAGTTCACAGTTAAGCTTTGGAGGATAGTTGGTTGTTAGCTAACTTATTATTTATAACGCCTATTTCCCTACTGCCTCCCTTCCAAATTACAGAAGATCTTTAGCTTGTGAGTGTTAGCTGACTAAATGCAGACTCTTTCCAAGGTGGGGAAAAATCAAAAGTTAAATTTCACCTGTAGGTACTAAAGTTTTTTATAGTGAAAGCAGAACTCATGTCAATGTGTCTCTTATTATTATTATTATTTTTTTGAGACAGAGTCTTGCTCTGTCGCCTAGGCTGGAGTGACTGCAGTGGTTCGATCTTGTCTCACTGCAACCTCCACCTCCCGGGTTCAAGCGATTCTCCTGCCTCCGCCTCCCAAGTAGCTGGGATTACAAGCATAGGCCACTACGCCCAGTTATTTTTTGTATTTTTAGTAGAAATGGGGTTTCACCATGTTGGCCACGCTGGTCTTGAACTCCTGACCTCAGGTGATCTGCCTGCCTTGGCTTCCCAAAGTGCTGGGATTACAGATGTGAGCCACTCTGCCTGGCCTTGCTGTTTATTTTAAAACTGCCTCCCGTGAGTCCAGGGAATAGCTCTTTCTTAGCCATCTTTGTATTCCAGTAGTACCTCATACACCTTAGATGCTCCCCAGTTGGTGGTGGACTTTAGAGAAGCATATTTCAAACAATGTTATAGTGGAAGGAGCTCTGAGTTAGAAGTCAAGAACCTTGGCTTTAGTCCTGAAGCTGTTACTATTTGTGTGATCTTAAACAAATCATTTCAACTGTGACTCTTAATTTTTGCCTTTTTTTTTTTTTTTGAGAAAGGGCCTTGCTCTGTTGTCCAGGCTTTAGTGCAGTGGCGTGATCTCTGCTCACTGCAACCTCCGCTTCTGCCTCCTGGGCTTAAGCAATCCTCCCACCTCAACTTTTGCATCTTTAGAAAGCAGATGTTGCATTAAATTATATCTGAGGTATAAACTCTGTATTAAAAGTCTGTTTTAAAGTAAAAATGATTAGTACGTAAGCAGCATCTCATTGCAGTAAATTCGGTATCATCCATTAGCAAGCAAATGTTCCCAGCTTCAAGGATATATTCTTGTTTTTTAATTTTTAATTTTTGTGGGTACATAGTAGGTATATATATTTATGGGTTACGTGAGACATTTTGACATAGGCATGCAATGCGTCAGAGTAAATAGGGTAGCTGTCACCTTAAGTACTTATCCTTTGTGTTTCAGACAATCCAATTATACTCTTAGTTATTTTAAATTTATAAGTAAGTTATTTTTTTACTATAGTCACCCTATTGTGCTAGCAAATAGTAGGTCTTATTTATCTTCCTATTTTTGTACCCATAACAAGGATATATTTTTTTATGTTCATATTTAAACCAAACCAGATTATTGTAGAAAAGTTGGAGCATACAGAAGTATGATGTGGCAGAAAATGTCACTTTTAATCCTGTCACTCAGAAGCAACCACTGTTAGTGTTTGGGTAGAGCTTTTAGTCTTTCTTCCTCTTTTGCCTTCTGTGGTTGGTTGAGATTAAGAGATACATTTTAAGTAATGACTGATGCATCTAAATTCACCTCACCTTCATCTTTGTGTGTCTGCTGCCTGGGGAACAGAGGTCACAAAAATGTTTGAACCAAATGGTTTCTTGAAACATCCTTGGTATGAAATCTGATACGAAAGATGTTTATATGGGTGGAAAGACAAAAGAGGAAAAAAAGTATTACTTAATAACAAAACTCTTTTGCTGAAACTTGGCCACAAATATGGGGAAAGCATACTTTATAAAATATAAATCAAATGTTAACCACTTTATTAAAGCATTTGGATTGCAGAATATTAGTACTTGGTAAGCTTCTAAGACTGTACCTTCCCATCACCTTCTTCCATCCTCCTTCCACCACCTAATTAAGCATCTCTTCTCTAACTCCTCCCTTCGTTTTACTTAACTTCCAGCTTTTACTTTTGCTCACATCATCTGCAAAGTAGGATTGCTTTGATGGGCCTGAGATCTGTGCCATTATTTATGAGTTAGTCAAAGTGTGCTCCATTCTGCCTCTCACTTTTTGGTAGAGTGCTTCACCTCAATCTCATTTCGTCTTCCTAATAGCCCCCCTGAGAACATTAATTTCATTATCCTTATCTTTATAGATATGGAACCTGAGGTGCAAAGAATTTAAATAACTTTTTTAAGTCACATTGTCAGTAAGTAGCAGAGCTGGGTTCATATCTAGGTTATTTTACTTTAGACTTTTGGGATTTGGTGAAGCTACTACCCTGCGGAAGACAATGACCAGAGGAAGGAAGGAGGGGTCATGAGGGGGTGTTGTGGACAACGGTGATGCCTTGCAGGCTGGAAATGCAGCATGCCCTGAGCAAATGCACATCTCATTACACATGTATATCTTTTCCCTGTGAGTAGGGGGTCTACCTGGTATGGTTTGTTATTCCTGTAACATGCAATCAGTAGGAAATGTTAGTAGATGTAAGATTGGTGAATGAGAGGGTTTTAGCGTATGGAAAACACCTGTGAGTGGTAACATTTGCTCCTGTAAAAATATGTTCTTGTAACTGCAAGTACAGATGAAAAAGTTTCTACAATGCTTTAGGAAAAGTAATAGATCATGGAACACTTTTAGGTACAGTTGTGTTTGAACTTCTAATATTGAACTCGATTTGGGGGAAGGCATAGTTTGTTAAGACATTAAAAGCCATAAGAAACTGAGCCCCAGATTTCATTTCCCTTGAGAACTGTTCCTTTTTAATTTGTTAGAGACATGGTTCTTTTTCTCAGTCCTCAAATAATAGCCAATAGATGGGCACATCTTCTATGAAATTTGATTCCTAATGCAGTGGAATTGCATTAAAAGTTGCTCAAAGCCATGCAGTGAGGATTTGAACCAAGGAAAATGTCATCTGAGTGTCTAGGGTAGCAATTGACTATTAAATATATTTAAATGTGAGCTTTGAATCTAAGTGATTTTGATTCTATTTGTCTTACTGTATATTACTTCAACATTAAACATTGCTGATCAAATTTCTTGCTCAAATTTTGGAAATACAAGAAAAACTAAGTTTTTATGTGGGACTTTACCCTGTAGTTTGCCCTACTTGTTCATGAGTTGTACCACTAGGGTCTTAGGCATTATTAATTTTCAAACATTTGAGGAAGGGAGGAAGCAAAGTCTCAGGAGTTTGCTTGGAAGGCAAAATGAGCCTCAGTTTTGGGAGTACTTATAACAGAGGAGCCTCAGTTATGGGAGAAATATGATGTGAAATTATATTTCACATAATCTCATATGTAGAATTATATAGTTTAATGAAGAGCAGGAGTAGGAAGCAGCAGGAAGATGATCCTGCTACATTTGTTGAAAGTACTTAGGGATCTCAAAAAATATTAGAGGAGTACCCTTAGTAAATGCTGTGCCTTGTAAGTACATCATTCCTCTGTCTGCTCTTTCTGTCTTGCCAAAAGAATGCTAATCTTGAATCATAATTTTGCATTTCAATTTTATGGTAGCATTTATGGAAAGAATATTGTTTGCTTTGTAGCTAACTTATTTGGAATTTCTATACATTTATAGTGAAAGTTCTTTGAAAGTTGTAAGTCACCTGCAAAGTGTGTTCTTTGAATCATCAATTTGTTTATTGTCAGGGCAATTACATAGCACCTACTCCTGAGCAAGTGTACATTCACCTGAAGTGTGAGACACTATGGGATAATTTGTGAAGGTGTCTAATGGGGTAAAGTATGTCAAAATGACAGATGACATTTTTGAAGGAGATTAACAGGATGAATTCTATAGTTTTCCCCTATAGTTCTGTCTTGAACCCATTCCTAAATAATTCAGTTAGGCAAAAGTCAAGTACTCAGGCTGATTTAAGTGTACACAGTATTGTCTTCTATGAGGGATAAAAACAATTATGAATGGGATTCCATTACTCAAGGTACTTACTGTTCTGGCCAAGAATAAAATCTAGTGATTTCATAATGTTGGGATTATTCAATGACAGGATGCTTAGTTAAAGGTTAAAAATGCTGATGTTGCTGGGTGTGGTGGAATCTGCCTGTGGTCCCAGCTACTCGGGAG